AATGATTATCCTAATTATATTTTAGATTTTTTATATTTAAAATGATATGTTTATCCTGTATTTGATTATGTTTATCTACAGTTAGTTACACGAATTCAGATATGAAGTTTTAATAACTTGTACTTATGCACAATCTACTTGTAATCTTGAGTTTTAAGTAATATGCATTAATAAATAGTACTATACGCATAAAAAGTAGTTTTTAAGAGTTTTTATCAAATGTTTTATAATATAGTATAGATATAATAATGAATTTGAATTTTTTTTATTCAATATGTTATATTATTTAATTTTTTTTCTTACTATTTTGTTTCTATTAGTTAATATATTATATTATTAGAGATTTTTTTCCAATTATATTTTAAAATATTATAATTGATTAGTTTTGCAATATGACGTTTTTGGTCACTTTACATTCTTATTAGCTAGTTTTTGTCCAACACGATTTAATCATCAGCTAACTTATCAATCAACATTTAGCTTATCGGCTAGTTTATCCAACATAACTTCACTATAAACTCAAGTAAGGTCTCTTTCTTCGTAATCATTTTATGCACGATAATAAAAAAAATTATTAGACTTTATAAATTTATTATTAGTTGGATTTCTTCGATCTCATTGGCCATCTTGGTATCTTCGAAACAACATATCGATCAAACATCTTGTAAATCTTGAAAACCTTTTGATTTAACTTGTGGAACAAGTAATCAACCTTCTCTTCATGCTTCTCATACAAATAGGGTAGCGTTCCCATGACGCAAAACCCTGTGACACAAGCAAACCAAAAGTTTATTATGAGTTGTTTTTAAAACGATTAAAATACTATATGTATATGTATGTATAAATAAATTAAATTAGAACCATAAAATTATTATAAACCAGTGAAAACTGATCTAGAATATGTTTTTACACTATTTTTTTTAAACAAAAAGGTGCATCATGCGTTATTTCACATACTTTTTCCATATACGGCTTCGATTTAATGTATTGATTAACATATATTTATTTCATCATGTGAATACTTTTTGTATGGTAGTGAAACAAAAAATACAATTAAAAAGTTTCACATTATGAACAAATACATATGAAAGAAAGATATTGTAAAACAAATATATGTTAATAAATATATTAAATTCTAGTCTTAGATGAAAAAAATAATGTGAAACAATATCTTACAATACTAGTTCTCGCAGTTATCATAATATATGAGATTCAGATGATAAAGCCCAATATATATATATATATATATACATACATACACACACATATATATATATACACATACATATATACACACATACACACACACACACATATATATATAGTTATGGTGAAAAACATAAAAAGAGATATGAACTTTTGATTACTTTTAATCTCATGTCCACCCATGAATTGAGGGACTGGATCAGAAAAAATAGGATTCTAGTTGTAAGATATGTAATGAAATCATCGCTCTTTAGAAGAGAATTGATCTGATGCATCTCATTACATCTTATTAGTGTTGACATTTAATTAGAACTGATCCAACAGTGAAAAGCTTTTCTTATGCTTCCCAGTATAATTTTCTTTCTTACCGGAACCCAACCCTATATATATGTGGTTTATATTACAACTAATTCTATTTGTATAACCAATGCAACCTCATCTTAACCATCAATTAATTTGGTCAACATTTAATGAGTTGGAAAAGATAATTATCAATTATCAATTAAAAACTGAAAAAGTAAAATAAAACAAACAGTTTAAATCAATGTTATATTGTTTGTACAAATAGAATAATCAGCATTATATTAATTGTACAAATAAAATAGGTTATTTTTTAAACAATCAGAGTACAAAACAAGACATCATATATATCCATCAATTTAGAAGAACTTTTACCTATAAAAAGAAGATTTAACGCGGTGACGTAGCTCCCAATCATCGATAGTATCGAAATAGTGAGGATTGCCTGATCAAATAAATAAATAAATATAATTATACTATATTATAAATATTTGATAAAAATACTTAAAAATTATTTTTTATATATGAATTACTGTTTATTGATGCATATTACTTAAAATTTAAGATTACAAGTAATTTTGCGTTAGTATAACTTATTAAAGCTCCATTTTTAAGTTCATGTAACTAAATACCGATAAACATAATCAAATACAGAATAAATATTCATTTTAAATATAGAAAATCTAAAATATAATTA